CCCCACCCGCTCCCTCCCCGCTCTCACAGCAGCGCCGCAGGCCGCCCCAGCCCCGGGGGGCTCCCCGCGGCCCCCCCGGCTGCTGCAGGAGGCACCGCACGGCCGCGTCCGTGTGCCGGAAGACGCCGAGCGCCCGCAGCGCCCGCCGGGCCTCGGGAGCCAGCCCGGAGCGCTCCGAGCACACCAGGTCCCGCACGGCCTGGAAGTCCTGCCGCAGCTGCAGGGCACCCTGCAGGCTGGCACAGGGGCACGGTGGGCGTGGGACCCCCGGAATCGCCACCGGGATCCCCAGAACCACCACCGGGACCCCCAGGACTCTACTGGGACCCTCGGACTGCCACTGGGACCTCTGGAATTGCCACTGGGACCCCCAGGACCCCACGGGGACCCCTGGCACTGCCCACAGGCTGTGGCCCCCCAATTCCCAGTACCTGAACTTGATCCGGCGGGTCAGGATGTGATCCATCCAGGCCTCCAGGAAGGCCGTGGTGACCCGTGCCAAGGTGGGCACCTGGGCATCCTGGGGCAGGGCCTGGGCCCCCTGCAGCACCTGCCCCAGCACCGCCTGCACCGCGGCCGCCGCGTAGGCGCTGGGGGAGCTGGGAAGCTCTGGGGGACACAGGGACACAGATCAGCGAGCCCCTCAATCCCCCCCAAAACCCCCCCCCAGCCCCAAAACCCACCGGCACGGGGCCCGAGCCGCCAGTGCCGGCCCAGCGGCATCGTCTGGTCGAAGATCTCGGCCGAGAGCCGCTTGCAGCTGGTGGAGAACATCCAGAGCACGTCCCCCGAGAAGAGCTGGGACGTGGGGTTGATAGTAAAAGGGTTTTAAAATCATGGGGATGAAGGGTTAAAAGGAAAAATCAGCTTAGTAGGCCCTAGAAAAATAAACACCCTAAGCACATGGAGAACTCGTACTTGCTAGAACTGCACTGTGTAGGTAGTACATGATAATTGATAGAATTGTTAGATGTGATGAGTGTTTAGTTAGTTAAATATAATTATATTTAATATATGTTAAAATTAATATCTATTAAATAAAATATAAATATAAATAAAATAAAATAAATCTAATTAAATATAATTACTGTTTAATCATAAGAATAATCATGAGAAACTGTGGTCAGCAACTTAAGAAAGATCACGAGAAACTCATGTCAATGTATACAATAGAACAATGTAAGTTTAATAATTAATATATGAGTTACATAAGGATAGAATATAAAATATATTCAGCTTGAAAGCCGTGTCGGAGTCAGATTTGGGGCTGTACCCCTGATTCCAAGAGCTCTTAATAAAAGCATGTGCAGATAATCATATCCCATGATTATGTGTTTGTGAACGCTAACGGTGACACGGGGTGACACGGGGTGACACGGGGTGACACGGGCATGCTCAGGACCACCCTCCCACAGTCCCGCCATACCTGGATGCTGTTGGCCACGTCACGGATCTGCTGGCACAGCTGGAGCTCCCACGGGGAAGGGGACTCAGGGTGGCTGTCCCCAGCAATGTCCCCCGGCTCCGGGAAGGTCCCGCTCACCTGCAGCATCAGCTGCTCCACCTCTGCCTTCAGCACCTGGAGGAGAGCAGAAGGAGCGAGTCCAGCCCTGCTGTGCCCACCCCCAGACCCCCGTGCCCGCTGTGCCCCCCGTACCTGCAGGTCTCCCTGGGTGAGCAGCAGGAACTGAGGCAGCGCCCAGGCCGCCAGGTACCGCCCGGCCCGGCCCGTCAGCCACGCGTGGGCGGCCGCCACCGCCGCCAGGCACCGGCCCAGCACCTGCAGCCGCGGGCAGAGACCCCCGGGAGGGGCTGCGGGTGGGGGTCAGCACGGGAGAGGATCCCCAGACCCACCTGCCCCAACCCCAGACCCCTCTCACCGTGCGGGCGGGGGGGCAGCAGGCGCAGGCAGCGCAGGGCCAGTGCCAGGGCTGGGAAGAGACGCCGGAGCTGCTGAGCTGTGCGGCTGCAGCCCGGCCCTGGGGAACCTCCTGGGGCTTCCAAGCACTTGTCTGACAGCCCTGAGCCCAGAGCACGGGTAAAATCTGGAGGAGAAAGAGTCAGAAAGCTCCAACATCCCCAAATTCACCCCACACACCAAATCCAAGCCTTCTCAGCACACCCCACTCCCTCACCCCACACACCAAATACAACCCTTCTCAGCACACCCCACTGCCTCACCCCATATCCACCAAGTGCCCCCCACCCTGTCCCCCACCCTGCACCCCCTAAACCCCTCCCCGTGGCCC